CAGTGAGTCAGCTGTTATTGTTCATAAACACATTTCTCGTGTTTGTTTTGATAAAATAGTAAGTGAATTTGAGTTCAAAAATTCATTTTTCAATGCCTCATATGTTCATTATAATATATAAAAAACGAAATGATCGAATATCATATTTTTTCATACACTAATCGAGAAAAATCATATGTACGTTAGAACGACCATGGTGACTCGATGAAGTGGGCCATTTACCAATATTTGATGGAAGTGGGGATGGAGCAGAGTGCAAAAATGGAGCTTGCCTCGAAAAAACACATTTTAATTGTATGAAATGTAGTGTACATCTATGTATTACTCGTGATCGTAATTATTTCAAGGATTACCATATGAAATAAACCACAATGTTGTAGCTATTTATTTCCTCTCCTTCTCGTAGAGTCACCATGTTCGTTGAAACGAACATGATTTTTTTTTGAAAAATCAAGGCCGTACGGACTTCAAAAAATTCTCAAAAATCATATAAGAAATCACTTCAACCCCCAATTTCACGAAAAATTTCTAACTGGAAAAATGAAAAGTCGTGACTGAAAGGGTTAATCAATTTAATATGTGTGATAAAATTATTATTACAAATGTTCATTATAGAATAATCATATTTGAAGTAAACTAATGTATTCATATTGATATTTTGGAGTACAAAATATAAACTACAGAATTTTGAAAATTCAATTCTTGCTTTAATCGTTCATTGATTTGAGAGACAATTATAATTTCACTGTTTTTTAAGCAAATGTCTTCCAGGGTTCCACTTATATATAGGAGATTGTGAGTGATGATATGAGAGATCCTAGACTGCAGAAAGATGTTCGGAGATAACTCGGAAATCCATAAAACCGAAATCGAAGGGCTTCAATAAATGAATAGGAGACTGAGAGGAAAAATTCTTTCATTCATTAGTGTGAGTTGATGTTCATTAATGTTCTTAGGACAATTTCATTAATTTCAATTGTTGAATTCCTTAGGCACCAGTCTCAGGAGCTGCGAAACAATTGATGACAAGAATGCTGAAAAAGTCAAGAAGTCAGAAGTATTCACCTGAACTGAAGCAGTTAGCATTGACTTTGAATTTGCATTCTATCAATGCCTATAATTATGTCAGGAATACTTTTAAAAAGTGTCCTCCACATACAAGGACTTTGACAAAATGGTACCAAACCATAGTTGCATCTTCAGGATTTTTGACGGAGGCAATAACTGCTTCGAAACTCAAAAAGTGGCAGAAGCTAACTCTCGTGGTCACAAAATCTTGTGCAATCTCGTATTTGATGAGATGGCCATCAGAAAAAGAGTTGAATGGGATGGTGATAAATTCCATGATTGTGTACACGGGAATCAATTTCCAATCAGATAATTTAGAAGAGGCAAAAGAAGCAATGGTTTTTATGTTGGTGGCATTAAACTCCCATTGGGAAATTCCTGTAGGATATTTTTTGATCAGTGGGTTAGGTGGCTAGTTTAGTTACTGAAGGCCTTGATTTCCTTCATGAGAGTAGAGTTACTGTAACATCAATGACATTTGATGGAGCTCCAACAAACTTTGCAGTTGCCAATAATTTGGGGGCAAATTTGAATGCTTCAAATTTAAAAACATATTTTTCACATCCCATTACTGATGAACACATATATGTATTTCTTGATCCTAGCCACATGGTTGAACTGATGAGAAATTGCCTGGGAAGTCAAGAAATAATTGAAGATTCTCAGGGAAATTCAATCAAATTGGAATTTATACTCAAGTTATGTGATCTAGCTTCAAGAGAATCAGGGGTTATATGCTGCCACAAAATCGAGGAAGAGGCATATTAAATGGGCAAAAGAAGAAAATGAATGTGAGACTGGCGGTTCAAACCCTCAGCAGTGTAGCTGAAGCTTTAGATTTTGTTAAAAAAGACTTGAAGCTGAAAGAATTTGGAGGATCTTAAGCTACTGCTAATTTTTGTAGGATTATTAAAAATCTTTTTGATATTTTCAATTCGATTAGTAGATTCACCAAGAAACCTTTCAAGAGGCCCTTATCACCTCCAACGAGAGAGGAATATTTCAACTTCCTTACTGAATGCAGCAGTAATATTCGATCACTTAAGTGAAAAGGTGTACCAATTCTTGAATCAAAGAGAAAAAGTGGATTTTTTGGTTTTCTTCCCTTTATCGAAAGCTCAAAAAGTTTTTGTATAAAGAACGAGTAGAAGTTAAAAAATAATTGAAATATATTCTGTCATATAAAATATCTCAGGACCACTTGGAAATATTTTTTGGATGTGTTCGGAGTAAAGGATGCTATAATAATAATAATAATCTTACAGCACGTCAATTCGAGAACACTATGAAGAGATTATTGATTCATATAGAAATTAGAGCTGGTGATAGTGGTAATGCAATAGCACTTGATTCAACTTTCTAAATTGCTCAAGTTATGTTCCAACAAAAAAATAATAAATTTGTTGGAATTGATGCCAAAATACAAGAGTCCTATGGAAATATAGATCATGATTATGTACATTCATCAAATGTTTGGAACATGACTTTGTATAATGAAGATATAATAGCTTATACTGCAGGCTTTGTCGTGAGAAAAATAAAACCGAACGTACATTGTAATTCATGTCTGATTATGTTAGAATTGATGAGCTATTTCAGCACTACAGTTGAGAAAAATATATGGACGATTGATTGAGGCATCTGATTTTATTATAAATATTTGCAAAGAAGGCGAAAAGTGCTTAAGGTCATTCAAGTCATCATCAAATTTGCTTCCAAGAGAATTTGGGAATTTGAAAGACTTTCTGATTATAAAAACCATACAGAATCTACCAACTAATATATATAATTCCTTTGAAGATCATTTCTATGATGAATGATCTTGGATGAATTTTTTTACACAAGGATTCACCATGGAACAATGGATAAAGAGAGTGAGATACCAGCAGGAGTTCGATCATCATCTTATACAAAGTATATTTTATTCAAGAATCAATAAGCATCAGCAATTTTATTGTTTTTTTTTGTGTTATCTTTTTGTGTAAAGTATATTACGAGTTTTGATCATTAAAAAATTATTTGAAGTATGGACACTTCATTTTTATTTACCATTTTCGAAAAAAATTGAGTATCAAATTCGATTCTGAGGTCTGAGTAAACAGAGATGGATATATTTTGCACTCTTCTAGCCTCAAAAGAGATAGCCATATCCCTGTGACAAACTATGTAATGCATTGAAGGTAGGGTTGGCGGGTCTATTTCTTTTATTCATCTGAGGCACCCACGATCAGTGTTTCGCGGACGACATTCTATAATCTATCGTCTTCTAATGCTGAGCGATGCAACATCTAATGGAAACTATGCGCATTCACGTCACTTGATCAGTAAGAGTAATCAGTGGTGTACTTGTATGGAAGGATCTGAAGGTTATAAAATTTTTTGATTATGTAGCAGTAAATTATTGATTTATTACCCAAAAATTGTGGAAATGATGAGTAGGGCAAACTGCTGTGTATATGGATGTAACGCTGCCTACAAAAATAATCCAGTTTTAAGATTCCATCATTTTCCCAATGAAGGCCAACGAGTTGAATACATGATGAATAAGGGACGCCGACCAATGTGTAACAGAAACAAAATGTGGTAAATTGGAGTCAGAATGGAAGCATGAGTTTCTAAGAATATGCAAGTGTGTTTTTTATAGGGGCTACCAAACACGGTATCAGACGAAAACTGCAGTGCCAAGTTTAATTTATCCAGTTCTAATACAGAGATGATTAGTTATAAACTAGGAAAAAATTAAAGTCTCATCGAAAGAAGACAGTTATAATGTCCATTAACAAAATCACTTATTAATTCAATTAGTTCGACTTTTAGACTGTCGAATTACCTCCAGCTCCACTAAACAAGGCACAGCTACATTCAGTCAGACTCAAGGAGCAGAAGCACTACTGAAACAGAATAACACCTGCCAACAAGAATTAGTCTCGGGAATGAATATTAAAGCTGTCCCAGTTTCTTCACGCAATGTTTTCACCTTTGTATTATTTGACTTCTATCCATAGAGTAAGTATTGAGATCTGACATACATAGAATCTGAATTGTATTCTTTGACAATAATATATAGTATAAAATTATTCAATGCATTGAGTTTCCGTAAATAAAAAAAAATAAAATTTCTCATCCGCCTTGGTCCTCAACATAATATATTTCATATTTCCATAACTTCAATGTATTTATACAGTACAATTCCTTTGTTGGCTGTTCATTCTGTATCTGTGGTCGTGTGTTGGTATCCCTCACTGTCATTGTCAGTCTCTTGTCAGTTGTCTGTGCTACATTGACATCTGTCAACATACCTGTCAGTGTCTGTTAAGTAATGGGATTTCCGTCCTCCACTACTTGCTGATTGCTATTCAAGTATCAGACACTGACAGGTATGTTGACAGATGTCAATGTAGTACAGACAGTCAGTTTTCTGTGCTACATTGACATCTGTCAACATACCTGTCACTGTCTACCCAAGTGGTCAAAATGGCAGTCAATTTTAATTTTTTCATAATTTTTTTCATTATTATCCCTGTGGCCCTAATGCTATGGGACCGGCTCGTGTTTGACCAACCATAAAATAATGCAGGGGTTTTATGAATTGTTTCCCTTTCAAATTTATAAAATAAAAAAATACCTTTTTCAATAATATTCCGGTAATGTAATTTGTAACAAATTCCTTCAATTTCAATGTAATTGCAGATAATTTTTTCACCTTCATGTAAGCGATTGTATGGTAAAAATTTCACTTTACACTCATTTTTGTCTGTTGTAGGACTAATTTCTTATAGGCTGATGATGGACATATGTATGTCCGAAAATATGTTCCCACCCTGATGTGACATTGTTCACATAGTGAACTGTCGTGGAGATGATTTCGAGTTTTATTTAGTTATTAATAATATATACTTGATTAAACTTATGTGTTCCAAATTCCGACTCACCTGTACGGCTTCTCGCCGGTGTGTATCCTCCTGTGGTTCCACAACGTCGAATGCCGCGCGAACGACTTGTCGCACACCTCGCACACGTACGGCCGCTCGCCCGAATGGATCCGCTCGTGGTTCTTGAGGTGCGGCGACTGCGAGAACTGCATGCCGCACACGTTGCACCTGTACGGCTTCTCACCGGTGTGGATGCGCGAGTGGTTCTTGAGGTAGGCGGCCTTGGCGAACGCCAAACCGCAGATGGTGCACTTGAAGTTCTTTTCGCCGGTGTGGAGCCGCTTGTGCGACCACAGCGACGAGTAGCGGCTGAAGGAGCCTTCGAGAAAAGAAATTCACCGACTGAAATCTTTTTTTCATTACCAATGGATTTATTTTTTTTAGTTAATGATATATTGTAAGCGGGCATCGCCCTAGCTTCTCAGGTAAGGCACTATCTGTTCGGTATTTCGCCACGGCACAGATCCAGATTCATCTGGACAGGGGAATCATACCGTACTTTGCCGAGTCAAAGGTCTGCATCAGTAGTGCGAAGACAGAAGTCATTAACTTCCATAAAAAAGTCAACAACACCAAGTTGAGCACACCTCTGACCGTCAAAGGGGTTGAGGTGGCAGACACGACCACCGTGAAATACCTGGGAGTCATATTGGACACCCGTATGACACAGTCTGCGATCAAGAAGATGTATCCCTTGTTATTCAGGACCTCCCCTCTTTCACAGGAGAACAAGGTCCTGGTGTACATGCAGATCATCAGACCTATGATGACGTAGGCGTATCCAGTGTTCTGCAGCATTTCACCTACTCATATGAATAGGTTACAGGTGCTGCAGAACAAAGTACACCGTATTATCATCAACGGTGATAAATACTCTCGAGTGACAGATCTCCACGAGAGATGTGGTAATTTGCCTAAAGTCAGTGAGTACAGCCTGCAAATCTTTAATAGATTCTACAAATACCACATCGCTGGAAGTGACCTTACCCGGAATATACCAACACGTAGACAATACCATAACATCCACAAAAAAAACACGGGCTGATATATGCATCAACCGATGTCTTTAGGGAGCCTGATAATCTATAGTCGGGAACCTCCCCGGGTGCTCGGACATGTCCGAGCCACCGAGAAGACTCTAGACAGCACCCAAGCTAGATAATAACAGAGTGTCAATAAACAACACTGAACTCGGGCAGAAGTGCCCATGTGGAAACACATGCGCACAACTGCCCGAGACAAACAAGAAGGTTATTTATTTTATTTCAATGGCTAACACCAGCCACCTCCGCGTCAGTGGAGAGACGTTAAGACATACTTCTAGTTATGCCGAATCTGTACTACACATATATGATTGAAATATGTGATGTAATGTAAAAAACCAGATGATGAATAAATGAAATTTAATACTAGCCGTTCGATATCTGAAGTGAAGCAGTGTCGAGCGCGGTTAGTACTTGGATGGGTGACCATTCTATATATTGTGCGCGGTGAACAATTGGGCAAGGCGACAACCCTATAAGTGGCAACAGTGGACTGAGAATGACGTGACGGCGCAGGTGTCAACGGCGATATCCCGGCGGAAATCCGACATTCTATCCAGGATTTAGCGAGACGAGTGCAATAAAGAAATCTTCGTGATTATTCAGTTATTTAGGCGAATATATCAAATATAAAATATAAAAGGCGTTCAAATAAATAATGAATTCGCTAGTGGTTGTTGAGGTCAGGTGACGGTGAGAACTGCATACTGCACACGTTGCACCTATACGGCTTCGAAAATAAATTTAATGACTGAAATATTATTTTCTCCGATAATCAATGGACATTTTTGGCTTCACTCAATAAAATATGTTCTTCCGGACCATATGTTCAGAACGTTTTTGTGATGTTGTTTGATAGCCAATTTCGATCCCTAGCAGTCAAATTGACTACGAGCAAAGGTTCAACTTTCAGCTCAAGTATCTTCTAATAAAACTATGAGATGAAAGTGAAAGTTGAAAGTTTAATTCACGGCTGATTTCTGACATTGACATAACATATTTCATTATCAGAAATTGTTATACAGGGTGATTCACATAAGAACCGACATAGAGCAGGGGCATGTAGGGGGTCCCAAAAAATGGCAATTTAACGCAACTTACCTCTATACCAAGTTGCTTCCCTAAGGAAATTTAGGCTTTGAAAGTGAAGTTATAAATTTTGAAAAAAATCAATATCTTCGTTATTCTTGAACTTAAAGCAACCAAATTTGGTACACTTTGTGGATGTATTTAGGGCGTTACTTGACAGTAACTAGAGTTTAATTGAAATTTGTAGAGGGGGTATACCAGGTGGCGCACCATTAATATTCAACATAATTTTATTAACCCTTGATGGATTTCAAAAATCTTTGCTTTGTTTTGTGGGCAATTCAATTCTAAAACTTTTCTTACTCTAGTAATTTTTCGAAAAACCTCATCATTCTCATCAAAAACTCGAATAACTGAAAGCGCGCACTCTAGGTGTGTTATTTAAAATCATCGAAAATTCAAAAGTTGGCTATGAAAATAAACGTCAAACTTGACAATGAGGCAAGTGAGTTGTTCAATTAAGTAATTGTTGTTTGAGAGTTTTTAAAATGAACGGGAATTTTTCTTTTAACGAGCAAGTTGACATGCTGTTAGTGCTATGCCTATAACTCCTTAGGGAAGTAACTTGGTATAGAGGTAAGTTTCGTTAAATTGCCATATTATGGGACCCCCTACATGCCCCTGTCCTATGTCGGTTGTTATGTGAATCACCCTGTATAACTTTCAGATTTTAGGAGTTTACGTGTAACATTCACTTCAATGACAGATTATCACTGACAATGTTCCTGAATTTTTCTTTTAGGGTCTCTGATAGGAATATTCTTCAAACGCAATTGCATTTTGGGGCATATCATCTGATTTGTCCTTACTACAGGTATATTCAAATAATATTCATATTTTCAGTTTATAGAAACGGGGAGAGAAAATCCCAAAAAATCTGGCATGATGAATGTACCACCTCCTCGATTAACCTACAGACAGTAGATTGACTGCCTTGGCTGAATTCCTAGCCTCGCTATGCTCAGCTATGAACTATCAGACGCGGCAGTCAATCTACTATTTCGCTGCGCCTAGTAAAACAAATAACTATTCAATGGACTATATGCTGAATATGTCGAAACACTTATCAATAAAACTCACCATTACAAATGTTACAATGGAATGGTTTCTCCACATTGTTCTGTTGATTTTTAGTGCCACCTATGAATATGATGCCGCTGCCGTTGCATTTGGTACACTTCGTCACGCAAGCAACGCCTCTCCTCTTCACTGGGTGGTTGTTTTTTATGCCAATGGGAATCGAATTCTGAGTGCCTAAAACATGTGGAACTACTTCAATAATTGTATATGTGTTATGAGCATATAACAGAAATAGAGAAATACCGGAAGATGAAAAATATATTCGATGTTACAAATTTCAGAAATATAGCTAGAAACCCAGAGGAGAAAAGGGGGGTATAATTATGATGAGTCAGTGTCACCTGGTATAGGAGAATTCTCATATTAGACAAGTAGTTATGACATGTACTATACAAGTTGTAAAGTACCGGTATAAAATTAATTCTATTCTATTCTATTCTATCCACAAGAACGATTTCGAGTTATCATTTTGTCCTTTTGAGATATAATATTGCCATTTTATCCACGATTAAATCTCTGGTAGTAGTCCATGCTCAAATTGGAGGTGATGAGATAATTAAGAGAACAAACTCAAAGTCTCGCTCCAAGTAAATTATAATCAAATCATATATGCTACATGTTTCGACTCCTAGGAGTCATCATCAGGCTTAAATACAACACTTATAAATAAAAGAAGTTCCATCACTATTGGAAAATGGGTGACATACCTTGCTAAGTAGGAGGAGAAAAGAAACTATAAAATTGACGACATAGTTCGTGAGGGTTTTAGGCCCCAAATATTTTTAAAAAACATTTTTTAAAAACATTTTTAAATTTTGGTTTTTTGAACCCCCAAATAAACATTTTTCCTAACATGCTTCTTTTTGGATTGAATAAACATGGTGCACAGAAAATGGCGTGAGTATGAAGTGAACAAACCGACAGACTACTTGATTTGAAAGATAAAAATGGTAGATAAAAATTATTTTCCGACAAACAAGTGACAAATGTCATCTATCAAAAACACAAAACATTGAAGTTGACTTAATGGGCCATAAATCAAAGTTCATAACAAACAAGAAAAAGTGTCTAGATTGACTAAGTCGATTATTTAAAATTGTGTTTTTTGAATTAGGAATAACAACGTTAAACAAAAGGATTGCCAATGCAACCAATGAATGGAGAGGAAGATTACAAAATGGAATTGAAAGTGGATAGGCAATCAAATCGAACTTGTTCATTAAGACAAACAGTTGAATTTGAATTTGGCAGATCTATTGATTTCTAAAATTTCCAGAAGGTTAAGCATTTTTCCCTTAGGATGAACATGTAGGACTTCAAAATCTTCTACTATATTATGTTTGTGTTTATTCTCAAGAACATGGTTTGCGAAAGAAAATGTAGTGTTGATAATATCAGAGTTAATATATTTGTCAATTGTCTTTTTATGTTCTGCTATCTTTTATTTATAAGTGTTGTATTTTAGCCTGATGATGACTCCTAGGAGTCGAAACATGTAGCATATATGATTTGATTATAATTTACTTGGAGCGAGACTTTGAGTTTGTTCTTTTAATTATCCACGATTGTTGTATGAAATATTCATACTACATGTACTTCCTCGAGCAAAACGGTAGCCATTTTTCACACTAGTGAATAATTGCAGTGAATAACCATAATGGTGACGGCATACGACCCTAACTACGCCACTTTTTGACGAAATTCAAAAATGAAAACTCCCTGTGATTACTCTGATTAATCTGGATTGGTATACCAAGTTCCATATTTTTTGCTACAGAGGTTCTGGAGAAATTCAGAGAAATCTTATTTTTTCTCGTACTTTCGACACCCTGTATCTCAGTGAGGATACATTTTAGGAAATACGTTCATAGGAACTTTTCACCTCAAAATGAGGTGAGGAATCCGTGAAGTGTTTTGGCCTCATTCTGACTCACCCTGTATATATCCATTTTTTTTCATGTTCATAATTTATCTGAGAATATTCCTTTTCAATACCTGCTCCCAATCAAGGTGTTCAAACTTGAACGATGAAAACTTGTTATTTTAGTAGACAATCAATAACAGATTCGTGATTATTACTCAATTCAGAATTTGTACAATGAACTCAATATAAATAAGCAAATAAGTCTGCAGGTTTCTTGAATAGCACAGAGAGTGTGTCAGGGGCAGCTGCAACAAAGATATCTTGTGTTACGGTAACCTGTTTCTTTCACACTCGTGTTGTTTAATGGCGGATTAGTGTAAAAATTTTCTTTTATCCAATGATTGGGGTACTTGAGATCTTTTTTTTTTATCTAAACAGGCAAAAAAATTAAGACACAACTTCATTGTTTTTTGTTATGTGAAGTATCGTCTCTTGCCATTACATGGGACTGCTTTGAAACACTCATGCAACTGGGAAAGGGCAACAAAGTCACACTTATGTGGGTTCCAGGGCATGAAGGAATCAAAGGAAATGAGGCAGCTGATCGCCTTGCAAAAAAAGGTGCAGCATCTACACTTTTTGGTCCTGAGCCTTTATGAGGGATAAGCAAATGTCACCTAAAGGGAGAACTCGGGAAATGGGAAGAAATTGAAAAGTCCTCCTACTGGAGAGCAACTCCAGGTCAACGACAAGCGAAAAGGTTCATCAACCATTTGCAGAACCGAGCCAAAAAGCTACTCAGCCTCAGCAAACCAGAGCTAAAGCTTATCACAGGCTTTCCCACAGGAGACGGCCCTCTGAGGTACCACCTCAAAAAGATGGGTCTGGCGGAGACTGACACTTGCCGCTTTTGTAACAATGCGACCGAAACCGCGGAACACTCGAAGTATTAGTCCGCCAAAGGCTGAACCACCTAGAACAGTTCTAACTCACCCCTGTTGAAGTGGAAAAGTCAACCGTCAGGAAAATCGTAAGCTTCATCAGAAGTCTAGGGTTAGAGGACCAAAACTAGATAGGTGTAATCACAATAGATCTTCTAGGTCGCAGTGATCGAAAGTTCTCTCAGCCTATACGACCCATCTACAATCGTCTCTTGCCGCATTTTTTGTGCATTGTACCACAGCACAATGTGATGGCATGCGCGATTCAATGAATAGCCGAAAAACACGATTCGTATGCCAAAATAACTTTGAAAAACTATCTCAATCACTTGTAAACAGATTAGGAAAGTGAGGTTGTGTTTCAATGTTTTAACTCCAGGGTCGGTCATTTGACAGTTCTTGCACGCAACCCATCTGTCAATATGGCGCTACTAGGGAAATCGAAAAGACAAAGAGCAGAATATATGTCTTTTTCTTTTATTCACTCAAACCATTGTAATATAGAAACTAGAAAAAGACAGAAGTTCAGCTGTCTCTCGAACTCTTATCTAACTAATACCATCCAGTGACTCTAATCAAATTCTCTATTCAAAAAAATCAAAATATTTGGCACCACTTGACATAAGTGACATATGACGAATCATATTTGACCTTGGATGTGCCAAGATGGTTTTCACCGAAATGCCGGCTAATTAATATCACTCTTCGTTAATAATCGAGATGATAACTGTTTCTATCAATGCACTCACGCTTGATAATCCGAAGTCGAAGGACCACAATTATGTATTGATTTTGACTAACTTTTACTGATTATTTTTGTTGATTGGTAAAATGAAACGCTGATTTGATTTTAATACGTGTATTCTCTACAAACTCTCGTTATACAATGATGGTTGGGTTGGGGAGAGGCTCATCCCAAAATAAAAGGGTCAGGTAGAAGGACAAGTGTCCGTGTCATAAACATGGCACATAAAAATACGTACAGGGTGATATTGTACATTCCCCGAAAGAATCCGCTTTCAAAAGTCATAATATCAAAAATAGTCTAGTTATATGGAGTAGGCTCACTCACGCACTGGCAGTACACAAATTTTTGAAAATGAACGTTTTATAATGCCAGTCTTTGTCAAAATAGATGCGACTCGTGCAACTTCGTCTTGTCGAGGATATATGGAAACCACACGGCCTAGAGGCCACTGCAGAGGAGGCTGATTGTCGGTTTTGATTAATACCATATCGCCAACTTTCAAGTCGAGCTGATGAGTTTTCCATTTCTGCTTCTGCTGCATCTCTGATAAACATTTTTAGTCCAGCGTGACCAAAAATGCTGTTGAAGTCGTTGAATGAGTTGGAATCTGCTGAGACGGTTAACTTTGATGACTTGAAGATCTGGATCCGGAAGAGCTGTCAGTCGACGTCCAATTAGAAAATGACCAGGGGTTAAAGGTTCAAGATCTGATGGGTCACTGGTTAATGGACTGATAGGTCTGGAGTTAACAATAGCTTCTATTTGTGTGATTGTGGTTAAGAACTCTTCGAATATTAACAAAGCATTCGATGCAACTCGTTTCAAGTGATATTTTGATGACTTGACACCCGCTTCCCATAAACCACCGAAATGAGGACTATGATAAAGTGCCAGTTAACTCCCTCTGTAGCTATTATATCAGATAACTTTTCATCATCTTTTAACAAAAATGTACCTAATATCATTCTCAAATATTTCCCTGATCATGATTTGGTTATCTAAATTTTCATCTATGTTTTCAAGCAAATTTTGAATTTCATTGAACTCTTCTAAAAGATTTTCAAATTTCGATAACCTTGATTCAAGTTCCAGTAATATAGTTTTATTCACACCTGTATAATAGCCCTCATTTTCGATGATTGTATGTATTGAATCGAGATATTTAATGAATATTGTTGGTCTGGCTTTCACAGTGCCTCTTTTTTTAATTAAACTTTTGATTTCTTCAGCACTCATGTTGATGATAGGTGAAATATATGTATGAGTATATTATATCACACAACCACAACTCATTGTTGGAAGAATAGGAAGGTATAATAAAGGACTCACGAATTCTGCCTGCCTGGTCTTGTTTTGCTGTTTCCAATCGTCCAGCTGAACTTTCCGTTGACCGCTGCTTGCTTGCACCACCGATGACTACGTCGACACCAACTTGACTGACTGCTTGTACTTTTCACCGAAATGCCGGCTAATTAATATCACTCTTCGTTAATAATCGAGATGATAACTGTTTCTATCAATGCACTCACGCTTGATAATCCGAAGTCGAAGGACCACAATTATGTATTGATTTTGACTAACTTTTACTGATTATTTTTGTTGATTGGTAAAATGAAACGCTGATTTGATTTTAATA